AACTCTTTCTGTTTCCTATATCTTTTTTTATGGGTTTCAGAGTCCTGGCAGTATGTTTTCTAGGCTTCTAGAATGTGTGCCTGCATGTAGAGTTAATTTATAAAACAAGAAATTAAATATATTTGGAAGTCATATTTTTGAAAGTTTTTCTCTTTTGTTTTCAATGTATGAGAAATAGTTCCATTATGATGATGGTTTTGGCAAACCTAGATGCATTAGATGTATAATGCCTGACAATATACTCAGTCATGGCTTCTTTTTTGCCAAGATTTCTAGTCAAACCCTTTCATGGTGGCTTTTAGTTATTCAGAGAACTTCCCCCAAAATGTTTGTGTCTGAATGTGTTTTCCAGTTTTTTATAGGCTATTTATTGTGTCCATTACAAGTGACAAGTTTCTTCATTTGTTTATTTAACGTTATTTAAGGTTTCTCTGTGTTATTTTTAAATGATGGAGGGGAGGCTTGGTGCATGAAAAGAACAAGGCTTATTTGAGTAAATATTTAAACAATACAAAACAATATAATTCTCAGGAACAGTGTCCCATCACTCAAACTTCTGTTACAGTTATACTTGCCTGGGTTACTCTTCTGGCTGACCCAATTTTGATCTGGACTATGGTATTGGAGCAGTATTCAGTATTCTCCATTCCAAGAAATTATTGACTGAAATCATTTAAATACTGAGATAAGAGTAAGGGAAGTGAGTGAAGAAGTGTGACAAATATTTCAACATTCTTTCTGGCCAAACATAGCTGTGGCATGTCTTTGTAACAGATGAAAAGCCTAAAAGCAGAGAACCTGTAGATCCCATATTGTGAAAAAACTATTTAAATACTTACGTACATACTAGGGTGATAATGTTATTTTCTCTGTGTCTTACTGTTTAAATTTATTATTCTCAGAGAATTTTCACAACAAATAGCACTATGAATTGTGGGAAGTTAGCTACAAAGAGTAGATGCTAAATTAAAAATCTAAAAAGGAGGTCCCATGGATACTTTCTTCATTAAGCATAAGCTCTGCTGAATATAGTGTACCTGTCTTCAAGCTGGTATTTTGAAGACAAAAATGTATATAAACATCAAATAGTTGTTGATATCTCAATAGTTTTGACTTAAAGTTCATGATTACAAGGAAAAATACTTATAATTCAATATCTTAACACCCATTTTCAGTCCTTTTGAAAATAAACCTGAACTCTTGTTTGTACTTCCATTTGCTGGCAGTTGGATTCCCATAGTAAATGAAAATTTATTATGTGTGTCTCAGCAAATAGTAACAAAGAAATAATTGACATTCTTCTTTCTTGGTAGCCTATTTATAAAATAGATATAAATTAATTATCAGTTGTGTCATTTCTGTGAACTGGAGGTTTTATTAGAATGCTTTACTATTAAAGAGGATACCACCACCATCACCATCAACTACAGACATATATTGTAGGTTTATCTTAAATCAGCATATTTCAGTCATACCTATTGCAGGACATTCATAAACAATTTAAAAAAATGAGAGCTCAAAGAGATATGCCTTCAGAAAAAAGAAAAACCATAGAAACAGAACAAAATGTTACAGGGCTCACCATCAGGTTGGGAGCAAAATGAATCTGTGGGGCCTGGTATTCAGGGGTTCTACTAATGACATTGTTTAATAGAAAGGAGATAAAGTGCATTCTCTCTGTCAAATTTTATGGGAGAAGAAAAATTATTGGAGCTAGGCAATCCCTCAAATAATCAGGCTACATGGCATAAAAATTGTAGTTGCAAAGTCATGTCTGACCCATCGTGACAACATTCCTCCAGGCCTTCCTGTCCTCTACCATCTTGTGGAGTCCATTGAAGCTCACACCTACTGCTTCAGTAATTCCATCCAGTCACCTCATTCTCTGTCGTTCCCTTCTTCTATTGCCCTCAATCTTTCCCAGCATTAGGCTCTTCTCCAGTGAGTCCTTCCTTTTCATTAGGTGGCCAAAATACTTGAGTTTTAACTTCAGGATCTGGTCTTCTAAAGAGCAGTCAGGGTTGATCTCCTCTAGGACAGACCAGTTTGATCGCCTTGCAGTCCAGGGGACTCGCAGGAGTCTTCTCCAGCACCATAGTTCAAAGGCCTCAATTCTTTTGTGCTCAGCCTTTCTTATGGTCCAACTTTCACAGCCATACATTGCCAAAGCCGATGAAGAACACCAGACACAAGGTACAGGTTTTGTTTCTTTTTATTGAAGCACTTCAAGGAAAGGGGTCCTGGCCAAAATACCAAGGAACCCCGAACCATAGAATTAAGAAAGGTTTATACATTTTCAGTAAAGCAGAAGGCAGGATATATAAGAAACATCATCTAATTAAACATTTTAGTAAAGATCTAACAATTATTCTATTGGTCTCTAGCCCTCCCTATTCCCAAGCCTTGGCTAATGAATGCTTCCGGAGTTATCTAATACACATTCTATTTGCCCCAGGCCATCTCTATTCCTAGCTTCTAGCTGAGCTATGCAAGATGCCTAACTCTTTGTTACTTTTATCAGTTTTCTAACCACCCAGAATTGTTACAAGCTTTACACGTGCATATTCCCTGTGAATAAGCATTCTTTGTTCTTGCCAGACAGACTCCACAATTACAGGCTTCCCAGTCTCCTTGCTTGTTTTACCAGTCAGCCCATCATTAGGCTTACCATTATTCTTCCTTACTGACCATGCTGCCACATTTGAGAGCAGCAGCTGTTTCCAGGTATTTGAAAACCAAGGGCAGTCCCACGCAGAGCACATTGCAATAATCCATTTCATATAATGGAATGCCCCATCATATGAAAATATCTGCAGAAAGTGAGCTGGCATGGGC